CCCTCCGCGAGTTTGGTGAAGACCCGCGGAGACGGAGAGAGCCCGAAGGGGAGGACCTTGTACTGCCATGCTCGACCTTCGAACGCAAACCGCAGAAACTGACGGTGGCGTGGAAGAATGGAGACATGAAAATACGCGTCCTTCAGGTCTATGGCTGCAAACCAATCCTGAGGACGAACGCATCGGAGGATGCGCCTCTGCGTAAGCATTCTGAACGACAGCTTGTGAAGGCAGCGATTCAAAACGCGCAGATCTAGGATTGGCCGTGACCCACTGCTCTTTTTGGGTACGATGAAGTACGGGCTGTAAAACCCGCTCTCCATCTCGGCTGGAGGTACCGGCTCGATTGCACCCTTCGCCAGGAGGGCAGCAATCTCCTCTCGCAAGACAGGGGCGGACAGGGGATTGGTCCCACACCAGCGCGAGGGTCCCACAGAAGAGCTGGAGGAGAGCGTTTCGCTCTGGCTCCTTACCCTGACTCCTGAGAGGGGGCTTGGGGGCTGGGAGAAGGGAGACCGTCCCCCCAGCGCCCGAGAGCCGCTGGCGGAGCATGCAAGCCCTGCGAGCTGAGAGGCAGCGCGTCCCAGACTGGCGGGGCTTGAGCTGTCACATCCGGGGAAGGGAGAAAATGCTCTTTGATCGAAACTTTGGTGGCACTGAAAGTACCGTTGGATTTTGGGCCCTGCCCTTCAGCGGGGAAAGAGCAAGTCTCCTCTTCTCCGGATGGCCTGTCTAAGGGACGCTTCGCGGTCTGTTTACCGGACTTAGCGGCGCCCTGGGCAGGAGGGCTCGACGCGCTCGACGCGCTCGCTTCGCCAGAGGCGGGGCATCGGCCGTTGGCGGGCGCCCTCGGCGAGGAGCAGCGGAGGTGGATGGCTCGGCCGGGGATGGAGCGGGCTTACGGCCCCGCCGATAGATGACTTTGCCCATCGCATCCGACTGCTCGCTCACCGCCTTGAACTCCTTGGTGAATTCACCGACGGTGTCGCCGAACAGGCCAGCCTGGGATATGGGCGCGTCAAGAAAGCGAACTTTGTCGACATCGCGCATATCTGCCAGGTTTAGCCAGAGGTGGCATTCCTGGACCACAAGTGTGGACATCGTCCTCCCCCGTGGGCAGGCGGCGGACTTAGTGGTCCGGAGAGCATAGTGGCCGTACGCAGCTCTTGTAACAAGCCTGGGTTAGACCCACCCTCGTGCAGCTCGGCCAGCGCCTGCGCTTGGTAGCGCTGGTAGGTGGCCATGGCATGCAAGGCGGAAGCTGCCTGGCCCGCAGCCTTGTAAGCTCTAGCTCCGAGGGAGGCAGAAAACTTACAGGCTTTGGACGGGAGACGGGGCGGACCACGCAAAGCGGGGGCGCCACGCGGACAAAGATTGACCGCAATGGCGCGCTCCAGCTGCGGGATCGCCTCATACCCCCTGGCAGCTCCACCATCCAGGGTGGTGAGGGCGGAGGCGGACGCAGCGCGGGCAGAGAAAGGTGCCCTCCAGGACTGCGTGAGCCTACTGTGCACTTCCAGGAAGAAGGGGACGAGAGGCTTCGAAGGCTTCACCTTCTGATCCTCTACGTAACACCCATCTAGTCGGTCCGGACGCGGGGCTGGGGGATGAACCATCTCCAACCCGACGGCCGAAGCAGCCCGAGAAAGCACGGCCAACATGTCCGCTTCAGGATCAGTTTTGACGGCGCTCGCTTGCCCAGAGGGGGCGAGCGGGTCCGGATCATCGTCGGACAATGAAAGCCCACCCTCCGATGCCGCGGAGGACATCTGACCTCCGTTGTCAGCGAGCGTGAGAGCTACCATCTGATTAGACGGATCACTCCCAGTACCCGAAGCTTGGATGGAGTGCTTGGAGGAGCGAGAGGTCCGCGAGCCCTTGGGCAGCGGATTGTCTATCGCTTAAGCCCTCAGATCTGCCCGAGCGCTCGCTGTAGAGCAGGAGGCAACTGGGGTGGCTTGCTCTCTTACGAAAGCTAACCGCGATCTCAACTGCGCAACGGTCATGGCATCGCAGTGACGACATGAACCGCCCCCGAGCACCACATTAACATGCTGGACCCCCAAACATGTAATGCAGTGATCGTGTCCATCATCTGGAGCCAGGAAACCCCCGCAACAAGAAACGCACAGTCGGAGCGCCATCCTGAAAAGGACGTGCTGCACGACTGTGTTGCTCTTTTAGGATTTGCATACAATACGCACCGCTCTTGGAGGACCGGACCCAAAGGGACGCCAGGCAAGGGAGATACCCAGCTCGACCGTCTGCCGCTGCGTGGACTCGCTCTGGACCGGGATGCAATCGTTCTCTCGAAATGGCTGTAGATCAGCAGGAGGAACCCTCATAAGCTCGATCAGAAAAGGCTCTGAATCGAAAAGGATAGCGTCTGCTGGCGCCAGGCGTGCTTATATACTCAGTTGATTGCATATGCCGCACACCTGCGCAGGCTTGCACTGCCAATTCATTTTTAATTGGCCCGTTCAATACTCTTTCAGACGAGTAGCTTCTGAACCGAACCTCCCATACGTGGATTTTAACATCAAATCCACTTATAGTGCTGGAGTTCCCCCCGAAGGGGAACTAAATATTTATATTAATACCATTTAAGAAGAGTAAACAAAAGCTGTTAAAACCGTGTATTGTTGACATATTTAAGTGATTGTGAGTTAGCAAGACCTAGCATTATTTATAATACTATTTTTCTTTATTTGTTATTTTATTTTGTTTTACCTATTGAGTTTTTGTACCTCTATAACTTTTTTTATGCTTTTAATTTTTTGTATACATCTGGAATTGTTTTGTATGTGTCATTCTTGAATAAAATAATAATAATTAGCAGTCTCACAGCTAGCACTCTATTGATTGATTTATTTATTTTATTAATAAATTAATAAATAATAATAAATAAATAAATAAATAAATAAATAAATAAATAAAATGATCATCAGGCAATAAAAAATATTTCTGTATAGATATACTCTCCCATTTAACCTTATGTCTCAATCACCCTTAATTCACTCTACATAATTTTGTTTCCAATAAAGTTTTTCAAAATCAGCACTTTTATATTGTTAATTTGACCAAATCTTTGACAATTTTTAAAAAATAAATAAATGCACACATTATAGAACTTATTGTTTATTTTTTCTCTGACTCGTCTAATGCTATTGTCACCACTAGATGGCGCACGAGCATTTGTGCAAAATTAAGCAGTTAAATGTTCCACTGGAGAGCACCAAATTAGAAAAATGAAGAAGATATAAATGTTTAAATATTTAATAATAAAACAAAACAAATACATTTTAACTTCAACCAAACCACCCAAAATCATTTAGTCACATTTTTTTTAAATAATTAGGTAAAAAAAATAACATTGTTATTTATTTATTGCCTAAATATAATTGAGACTATTTCATGTGCATTATTGTCTAATTTTAATGTTGTTTATTAAAGCAACACAGAGGCAATGTTTGTTACATAATTTAAAATCGGATCAATATTTTCATTCGTTAAGAATATGCCAAATGACCTGTTTTAATATAAATGTGTCTTTGCTCTCCCGTCGACATGCAGTCATGTTCATTATAGATTTTTTTGCTTTGTGATATGAAAGAAGGTATAGGTTCAAAGACCGGAGCCTAGTTTTAATACATGTCTAAAAAGTTCTACAACAAATAAATTTGTTTAAGTTTTTTTGAGAAAGAAAGCATAGATCACCTCTATGAGGGTGTAAACGTGATAGGTTTGACTAAATTTGTATTTGTTTCATTGTTGCAGGCTACAGTTGTAAATTTAAACACTTCTAAGAACTGTCATTAACATAAACGCAGTTTCGCTTCTGCAGGTGTAAGAAAAAGGGAAGAAACCAATGCCCCAAATACCTAGATGCTTCCGAATAGATCTAATTTTGACATTCTGAAATTCCTCTGAGAGATCGTAGTCAAAGTAAAGCCCTGTCATTTTCACATGCAAGCACCATGACATTATTACTTAGTAGACCTTAAAAAGAAAAGTTGTATTGCATTTAAAATTCTTAAGGGACATGATTTTGGAACACAACATGTAATGTAATGTGAATGTAAAAATATCTTAAGTGTTGATTTATAAGCATTAGAAATGTAGACTACATATAGGATGCCGATACATTTAAACTATACAAAAGAACAGGTTGTTTTATATTACACCAGCAAACTGTCCCTAAAAAGTTTGTTATAAATGATATTATCGTTTTATCAGCTTGTGCACTGCAGCTTTTATTATTTAAAACGTTTCCTTGAGCAGTTTGCACCTGCTCTGTGTTCAGTATATGCGCATCTGCACATTCTGTAGTGGTGACTACGGTGGCTCCCTAGAGACTAAATATTCAAATGCAACAACCGAACCCAACAGAAGATCTGCAGAAATACTCCAAATTTCTAGAAAGCATGAACATTATTTTTTTCAACATCTGAAAAAAAAGGTTATATATGTAGGCATGCAGCCAAAAAAAGAAACCATTTTAAAATTCAGTTTCCATTCATCTACTGTATTTATTGGGGTTTGCATGGGTTTGAGTAAAATGCTTATATTTGATTTATTCAATAAAGGTAACATTTCATCTACTTTTTCTTCTTTAAATGTAGAATTAAAAAAGTACTTGATTTTTGCACGTTGACAAAAGTATTGATACACTAAATTACATAAAAACTTAGTCATTGGAATGTTGTAACAAATATAATATAGATGTAATAACTACATTTCATAATAATAAAAGTGTGTGTGTATATGTGTGCGTGTGCGCGTCGTGTCATTATCTCCTAGTGTACAAACTTCCAATTATTTAAATAAGCTGTATTTTATCTAACAGTTTATCTAAAATAAATGTGTTTGCTCTCCTGCATTTAATTCAATAACTAAACCAACTAAACCAAAATCTAAAAATTTTTTCTCTGCTAAAACTGTTGCATAATGTCACTAATAAGAAGAGTCTGATAAAACATTTGAATTTAAAACTAGAAAACTTGAGAGATAAAATAAGACTTTATTGATGACTGTGAGCAATATATACATATAAATTTATATATTCAGGGGGAGGGGCGGCATTATGAAGCTTCAACATCAGTTAAAACAGTAAGCATGCATTTATTTTAAAAGACACTTACAGAGCAAGAGAGATTATAGAAATATTTTTCTTTTGCAATTTCAAAATATTTAAAAAGTTACAAAAGAAATTACAAGCGTTGAAGTTTTCACAAACTCTTTCAACAAATCGTCACTGCTTCATCTGAAAGGGAAAAAAGCATTTAATTATATATAATTAGAAAACAAATCACATACACAAACCAAAGTGAAGCCTTAATATCTGTTGCAGCATGAATAACACAATCAAGCAAAAAAGACATCTCCTTGTATAAACTCTTGATTTATTCATACCAATCTTACCGTGAAGAGGCTGAGCACAGCGCTGTAGGTCAGAGAGAAGAGGAAGAGGAAGATGAATGATGTAGCAGTGGACCAGAGACTTCTAAACTCGTCCTCCTCCAGAACATCTTCATTGCAGTGAAGAGCAAAACCTGTCTCTGGCTCAGGAGGCTCCTCTGAAACAAACACACAAAATAAGTCCTGTGTACAGTAAGCACACTGTGCAAAGTATTTACTAGAGCATTTATCATTCATCTTCAGTTTATAGTCCAGAAAGTATTGCTATGCTTCTTGTTAGTGCCACAAAAACAATTTAACCAGTGACTTACACAATCATTACACACCAAGTTACAAACAATACACACATACAGAAGGAGACAAATGAATATAGATTTGTGTTTTATCTGAATCATTTTCATCAAATCACACTAAATATGTTATAAAATATTCTCAATATAACTATAGTATTTATCTTTATAATGGACTTACCAAAACAAATGTAATGTACATTCATTTTAATATATAACCCTCACAAAATATCTGCACACTGCACTGATTGTAAATGTCAGTATTTACTGGTGATTTTGAAAGTCACATTTGGAAATGACGGTGTGCTTTTACCTTTGTGCAGTGTGTCCTTGTTTCTCTAAATACAGAATAAAACAAGACCAAAAAGCAAAGCATAGAAGTGCAGGACTTAATCATGCAAACACAAAGATTTATTGGGAAACAACATAAAAACTCAAATCAAATTTAGTTCCAAATTTAAAATATTTAGTAAATAAAATATGAAATTAAATAAAATATGAAATATATGTTATTTCAGGAGACATAAAGGCTACAGATGTGCAGTAAACACAGGACAAAACATACAAGAGTGGTTTTAAGAAAAGTATCACATTTACACAGGTCAGAATTAATTTTTGCTCTTGAACACTATTGTTTTATTACACTATAACATTACACTCACTACATATTTGTTCACATTAAATTTCCATGCAAATGTATAAATTTAAGTGTGGCTTTGAAGTTTGACCCATGTATTGTGACACAGACAAATACACAGAAACATCAACAATACTTAATCTAACGGGTGAGCAACACAAAGTAAAAACATTTGCAAATGCACACAAGAACAGACAAAAGTTAGTCATCACATTCTGTCTGTTTACTTTTGCTGGTTGATTTTAGTAATGGAGATGCTGTATCCTTCATGTTGGCATGTACAACAGCACAGTTGATGGTGGTTTCGGGGTTCTCAAACTCTTTTTTTGAGATTGTCAGAATGCTGACAACAGATGTGGAGCCCTGTTGTTGGATGGGATCACTGGATTTGCCCTCTGTGAACGTATTGTTCACTTTCCACATGATATAGACATCACCAAGGTTAGGGCTGGAGACTTCACACACATAAGAGATTTGCTTTGTGCTGATATCATCAGGTTTGTACATTTTAACACTGGGTTCCTGTCCATCTGAATTGGAGAAAATGATAAAGATTCAACAGTCAATCAGAATATTATCAAATTAATTAATAATAATTGTATATCAAGCCAGTCTAAGCTTTAAGAGAGTAAAAATGCTCCGAACAGTGATAGTGAAGTCATTGTTTTTCATCTCTTTTATCATAATCTGTGAATAAACAGAGAATCAAAAAGGTGATTACACTGAAGATTTACATTGGCTTACCTCCTTTATTAAAATAGATCTCCTGCTTAATGTCTTTGTTATTAAGCGTGTCCCGGGTGGTACAGGTGACTTTTCCACCATTAAACCATTTCGTTGTATCAACTGGAACATTATAAATTTTTACGTGTTGTGACTCATTTTCCTGGCTCACACTATTTATAGGCACATTGTCCATTTTGCATGACACTGAAGCTTCTTTCACTGCAGTCGACAAATCTCCAGAAACAACAGCTTGCAAGACAATTCTGTTATTGATGAACATTTCTCTCACCATTGGTGGCTTCAGCATCAGTCTGAATTTAGCTAAAGATGGAAAAAGAAATGTATTTTAATGTATAGTCTGGATTTATGTGTATGTTTGAACTGTAAAAAGTTTAGATGAGCATATTCATGTGTGCATTTAAAACGGAAGATGATTTACCTGTAAAGTTCTGTGTTTTATGAAATGTTTTTCCTCTGTGTGAGACCTCACAGGTATACTCAGTGTTTGGAATCACAATCTCGTTTAATTTATAAAGACTGAGTGCTGTGTGAAGACCATTCATGTTCAGTTTGTACTCCAGATTTGTCTGGCTCTGTTTGTATATGTTATTTTCTTTCCACCGTACAGTGATGTTTTCAGTGTAGAAATCCTCAATAACACACATGGCAAATGTATTTTTCTCAGTCGGTACAAGAACCAAACTCAGGGTTGGAGCTATAAAGAATCGTTTATTTTTTATTTTTTGCTTAGACACATTAAACGAAACATTTTTTTAAATGTATATTTTTACTTTATACCTCAACAGCATATTTGTGCAGTAATGTTATGCTCAACATGTTAATGTCTGTCATTACCTGTACTAAATGTTTCGTTGACTGTTTTTGATGGATGATCTGCTGTGCACATTATGTCACTTTGGTATCGTTGCTTTTTGGTAATGGTGATGTAGCTGAATTTTAGATTGTTTGCTGTAGAATGCTGGGTGACGTTTTTCATTTCATTTCCATTACTACTCCATCTGAAGTTTACTGAGTCAGGTGAAAACTCAGAGGCCAGACATCCAATAATTAAGGAATCAGTAGAAGAACTACACTGAGACATTTTGAACACAACTGGTGCTGTGAGAGTTTCATCTAAATGGGGTAAAAGACAAAAATACAGAATAAGAAACATTAATGATATTTTACATTTATAAATTCCGCATAAGCAAAACACTTGGAAAAAACAAAAAAAGAAAAATAAATAATATTAATTATAGTAGCCTATGGTGCTGTCTTTTTTTCATTGTTGTATATTGAGGATGGTTTAATGGTTAAATGTGCTGATATAGCAATATTTAAAGGCTGCGAAGAGTGAATAAAGTTTTTAGTTTATTTGTGTGTGCTGCGTTCATAGACTTTACAAAATGGCGTTAATTTGTTTGATTTCTCCTTGAGAAGCAAGGTTTAAGGTCCTTGCACCCTGACCGAGTCCGAAACTGTATTTGTTTTTTATATTCGTCATTTGGTGTAAACCACATACAATTGGTGAGACTTTCATTTTGCATGTGCAGAGTAATGATATAGGCGATAATGCAGCAGCCAAACTTGGTGCAGTACCGCTGTCCACACAGTTGCTAGGAGAATTGTAGACAAGTCCAATGAGTTCGTTAAAAATAGTCCTTACTATACGCTGCAGCTAGACGAATCCACTGATATTGCTAGGCAGGCACAGCTCCTCACCTATGTCAGGTATTTGCGTTGCCGGCCTTTTTAGTCACATACTACAGGAGAAGCCATTTCCAATGTCCTCGATATTTTTATCTGTGAAATTGGCTTGGAATCGATGCTTTGGCCTATGCACAGATGGTGCGCAGGCAATGACGGGGCATGAGCGTGGCCTAGCTGCTCGCATTCAGAATAGCTCTACATGTGAAATGGAGACAGTTCATGGTTCGCGAAGCGTCACACTAGCTGCTAAAACTGCCTGTTCTTTTTGATTCCATGCAGAACCAATCCGTGCACTGGGGCCCCAACTGCAAAAAGTTGAGAACCCCTGCCTTAAAGCATTTTCTAATGATTAATTAAAGCAGACAACTGGAAGTTTAACTATTACTTGACTTTTATTATAATTGACATGAATTTACATGCATCATTAGTTTAAAAATATGTTATTACATTACGCTAAAAAAAATGTGGTGCAGGGTTCTTTAAAAAGCTTGGAAAGTATTTCCACTCAGAACTCACTTCAAAACTTTGCTAGTAAAAACCTAATCATAATTATTATTTAGAAATGTTTAAGTTAAGATTACTTGAGAATTCACAGTTTTATTGTTTCGTTTGTCTCTACTGACATCCTGTCAAATACACAAATAAGTGCAAAGTGGTTACATGTTTTCTTTAATTTTATGTGAATCAAACTGAATTAAATTACATTTTAATCCAAGAGAGCATGCGATTTCCTAGCTTTGTGAAGTAAATTCTACTTGTGTATGTAATTTATTTTTTTGCTTTAGTTCAATAGATTACGAAGCCACTCTATATATTAATCAGGCCTAGCTATTTTGAATTTACTTATTTTTAAGCACAATAAATAAAAGAAAAAAAAACAATAAAGTATTGAATTAATCGTTGCATTTTGAAGTAAAAAAAAAAACACAAAATGAGATTGTAAATATACAGATAAGATACAAGATATACAAAGTAGGATTATTTGTAAAATTATTATGCTATCTTCATTTGCAAGTCCAAAAAACAACAACAACACATTTTAGTGTAGGCCTATGGCAATTTGGTTACATGTATGAATTATATAGAATGTAATTTGTTGCTCGTGCAGTTCTCATTAATAAATAATTAATTTCTTTATTACTTTAACACATACATTAACTAATGATTATCTGTGCATTAATTAGCACTATAAAATGCATATTAGTGCACCTGTACTGTAAAGTGTTACCAAAATCTTTAAAAGCGGCCTGAAACTTTTGTCTCGAATTGGCATTTAGCATTGTCACTTTTTTACATAAAAAATAAAACTTAAAAAACTTGAAATTAACTGAACCTGTTCGTTGACATAAAATTACTGAACCCATACAACAGCTAGAGGAAAAAAAATAAATGAAAATTTCAGAAGGCAATTAGGCTAGAGCTTTTTTGCATCGGAATTATAAATGTTTAACTGATCACAACACTAAATCATCTTTATGCTATAGGCTGTATTTAGCCGAAGTACTGTAATAAATAGGCTATAACGCTATTTTCGCACCAATATTTAAACTCAACATGGTTCTAGTTCGCACTAACAGTGAAAAATTAGCACAGTAGAACATTTGGAGGATTGGTTGACTTTAAATAAACAAACAAATAAGTAAATTAACAAATAAGGTAGCATTTTCAGATTGCAATTAGTGAGTAACAAGGAGTAAGTAACAAGACTGAAACATTGTTTGCATAATTTATAGAAACAAAACACTCTGAGAAAATACAGGGAAATAATAAACAGCCTATAATCACTTCCTAAAAAATTGCCTTCATGACAAATGACCCAAAGAAGGGCATTTTGTTTAAATTTTTTGACAAGAAATTTCAGAAGTCTGTAGGCTATGCCACACATAAGGCTATGCCAAAGTGATTTCAATAGACTCAAAGGTCTATTACTAACAGATCACAAAGATGCTAGGGCCTAACTTAAAAGAAAAAGTTACAGATATTAATATGAAATAGCAAATTCAAATGGAAGCAAAAATAACTTACTTGTCACGGTCACCTGCGTCCCTCTACCCCAGTAGTCGAAGTAGCTCACAGCATTACATTATTTCTATCAGCTGTACAAGATCTTATATTTTGTCCTTTTAGACTACTGCACCTCACAAGGTAATTAAACTCAAATAAAGCAAAAAAAAAAAAAAATGCTTTACTTTTACATTAATAAAGCCTTAATCTAATTCATAGACATACTAATAAAACAATAGTTTTCCCCCATCTGAATATTCTTACATTTCTCTGTGTTACTACTATAGCCTACATACCGTTTTAGGTTATGCATGGGCTATTCAAGCTTTAAGAAGTTTGTAGGTTAAATTAAAACTTTAAGTTGAATTTACTATAAAAATAGTTAAAGGTTATAATGATATAATTTCCGTGCAATAACCAAACACAAATAATAAATTATCGATGCAGATATTCCCAACAACATAAACAGTATTCCCATTCCTGTATTCAAGTAGTTTTGTCTGCACAATATGTTTTTCTTAAATTTAAAATAGGCTAGAGGCTACTAAAAGAGTTGAAAAAAAGTTAAGAACTTACCTGCAACGGTCACTTGTGTGCCTTTACCCCAGTAGTCAAAAGCAGCACAACGCGACATTAGACGTCAGCTGGTTTACAAAAACCTTTGTCATTTTAAATCCACTTCATGATCACACACCAGTAGACTATATGAAATATTTGGATCTACTGAAGATAAAACTGCCACCATCACAACCAATGTTAAAATTACTGTCATATAATGCTGTCACTATTTTTTATTCAAAAGTGATTGGGCCTAGATAAGATTTTGTGTGTCTTAATGAAAAGAAAAATCTATTAATATAACCTAATAAAAATAGCTTAAATAAAATAAAAATAATAAATAATGAAAAAATAATAATTAATAAAATAAAACAAAGATTTTCATTAAATGTTTGGACTTAATCTAGTGTTTTAAATTATTTACACTACAGTATCCTTGTTTCAATGCTTGTTTTTGACAATTTTCTGTGTGTGTGTGTGTGTGTGTGTGTGTGTGTGTGTGTGTGTGTGTTTATTATAAATATGTTTTAACAAAACAACATGAAAATAACAAAAACATGGGTAACACTTTAGAATAACCTAAAGTATTAATAACACATAACCACAAAATCTAACAAGCTAAATTAACTAAGCAAGATAGCTAATTTAAGACAGTTGTAGTTTCTTATTAATATTTGTAAAAAAATATATTGTTTTTGAGAGCTACTTGTAGAATTAATACTAATTACTATTAGTAGGCTATTAGTATTGTTATCAATAGTAATGCTATTTTTTGGTTAAAATTTATATTGAACATATCATCCTTATTTTTTCCCCAAATAATATGTTAACTTTATAGATGTTACTTTTGTGATAAAAAAGTAATTGGTTATTTTTTAATAAATGGTCATAGTTATTTATTAAAGTAAATAACTTTGAAAAAAGTGTATTATCTTTTTCTTTTAGTAAGGAACTACCAAATAAGGAAAATTCGCATCAAAATAATCATATACCATGCGAAACATGTCATCTTTTTTTTTTTTTTTAAATCTAGAGTATTTTAGTAATAAACTCTTTTCAAAATATAGCATATTAGTTTAGGTAAATAATTCCCTTCAGATTATGTAGAGCAATGTGACAAATGTAATTCACTTCAGCATATTGAATTTTAAATTTTCACACTATTGACATGTTGACAAAACACATTTTATTAAGCTGAAAACAAGCAGCTAAACAGCAGAATCCTGAATGATAAACTATTGATAAACTAGGATCATTTTGATTTCCTGACCTCGCTATTTCTTGGAGACAACATTCAGGATGCATGGAAACTTTGTGGGATGAAAACTTTCCTTAAACTTTCCTAAGGCTATGTCATTCTTAAATAGATGTACCTTAAGCTGTACCTCAGTATTATGTGTTTCCTGAAACATTGTGAAGTCATATATTTGGATCGTCAATTGATGTTGTGTGTTTATCATCCATGACTTGGCTTCTCATTGTTTAGTTATGCAACTGGCATGATTCATATATGATTAATTTTGGATTCTAATGAAATCATTTTCATTAGCAGATTATGAGGAGTTTTTGTTACGTTGGATGTTATTATTACAGTCAGTGAACATCCAAATGTAGTATAATTAGTTTTTTTTTTTTTTTTTTGCTTTAGCCCTCTTGACCCCTGACTACTACTGTAGCAAATTGCATGGAAAAAGACTGGATAAACTTTTTTTTGTCAAGAAAAAACTGAAGATTCCAATCACCTGCAATAATTAATTAGGTGATCAAAAAGGTATTTAAAGTAACACACGCATATACAGTTGAAGTCAACACATTTCTAAACATAATAGTTTTAATAACTTGTCTCTAATAACTGATTTATTTTATCTTTGCCATGATGACAGTAAATAATATTTGACTACATATTCAAGACACTTCTATACAGCTTAAAGTGATATTTAAAGGCT